TGCTAAAATAATTATTCCAATATTAATATTTTTATTTCCCTAAATTTTGAGATAAAAAAATCATTTTTGATATAAATGTAGATTAATGGATTTGACAAATTCAATTTATATTATATTCTTGAGGTTTTTGTAAATAATATTTTTATTTTTATAAATAATATATATACTTTTATTTAGTTCAAAATAAAATATTAATTAATTATTTATAAAATTTTAAGATATATGTCATGTTCAAATTTATAAATATTAAGTACTAAAATAATTATTCTATTATTAATATTTTTTTCCGTATAAATTCTTGAGATTAATCAAATTTTTGATATAAATGTGGACTTAAGAAATTATTTATTCTATTGGTTTATAAAATATTAGTTTTGAATATTATTTTTTTTATTTTGTTGGAATTGTTGAACACAAATGTAATTTTTCTGCATTACATGTGGACACCAGAATAGAAAAAAGTTATTTTATTTCATCAAAATTCATAAGATAAAAGGTGGCCTAGTGGATTAAGTGCATAGTTAAGGCTTTAACGCTAGGTGATTTGTGTTTGAATCACACTAAGCACATTTTTCTTTTGATAAATGTGTATCGGTCATAACGGTCAATACAACACGATACAGGTTGATACGAATGCGTATCACTCTGGTACGCGCGATTCAGGGGATATGGGTTTAGTTGTAGCATATCCTGTATCCCCTCTGGCCGATACTGATGTGACATGCCCCGTATCAGATGTATTGTATCGATATTTAAATCCTTGCAATTACCTTTTTCTTTTGATAAAAAACAATTAACCAATTGACCAATTTATCTCATGAGATACTAGTAAGGAACAACTATCCAAGGAAACCATTAGGGGTAAGCAAGTGGGTAGGTTTTACCTAGAATCGAATGAAATCGACCTTGATGAACTGACCCTACTCGATTTGTTATAGGGTAGCGTTTGGTTCCAATTTCTTGGAACCGACCCCACCAAGGTCAGTTCCAGAGTCTAGGGGTTTACCCTACCCGAACCGACCTTGATGGAACTGAATTTACCTTTAAATAAACCCCAAAATATTTTTAAGGATTTGAGCCCAAGCATTCATAGTTACAAAAGCCATGGTCTCACTTGACCATTGAGTTACTTAAGTTATTTGATCATTTGTTTTCATTTTAATATTTATATGTATATAAAAAATAATATTTACAAAATTTAAATCATAATAACAAATTATCAGCCGTATATTAATATATTATGATAATCTATATATTAAATTACTCAATTTAATTAATAAAGGTAATATAAGTTTTAAACTATATATTATTATTATTATTGAAAATCAAAATTTTAAAGGATACGTTTCATTTCTTTTTCTTAAAGTAGAGCATGAAAAGGAACAGATTCAATAAATAAACCCCGGAACTGACCTTCACAAGATAGGTCCTGATTTCAAAATTTTGTCATAAAACTAAACCAAACCGATTCATGCTCACCCATAAAAACTATGCAATCAGGAAGGATAGTAGGATTCAACGAGAGACGAAAATTATTGGGTTCCAACTTCCAAAGGTAAAAAGGCAACGAGTTACGAGTTATCTGAGCAGAAGAGAACTACAACAGTACAACGCGTGGGCGTGGTGTCGTTACGCAAAGAAAGTGCTGGGTAAACCGGTACATGTGTTATTATGTCAATGCCTTTGTTGATGCTGCAATAGATGACAGGCGGTTAACGTGTGAATTGGGCAATGGGTAGTTATTGAAGAGCTACGAACGAATGTGACCTACGTACGTACCAGAGGACCATGTGGACACGTGTGATGTCTAGAGTCTTCGAACTGCAGTTTGACACCTGTACAGTAGGAGATGGTGCCCATGTGAACAACATATGATATCATTCATGGCGCTTCTGATTCAGCATTCAACGTACCTGGGAGGATTCTGTATTCTGTATTCAATAATCCGTCCCCACCCCACCACCGCTTCTCTCTCTCTCTCTGTCTCTTTACAAACACTGCCTAAAAGATTCTCTCTAGGTTGAGCTGGGTGCGTAGTGATCTCTTGAACCCTGCAAAAAAAAAGATATCAGACGCTCTTGGACATTGGTCAATTCAAAATTCAAATAGACAAGAATCCCCGTAGATATGGATCTATCTGGTATCAAACAAACTGTCATAAAATTAAAAGAATTCCATAGTATTAGACGTTGATACGTTATTAACAATTGGCAGGATTGATTGATATACCTTTTCAACGGTCAGATTCTTTAAAGATTTTGTTTCTTCCCCAATATTTTGTAACGTCAAGAAAAGTATAATATTGATTCAGATGTCTCATTGATGAACTATGCGAAAGACGGGTTGGCCTCAGCTTGTCGCCTGCAGACATTGAAGTGTGAAGCAAAAGTTTTTGAACCATGATGATAAATGCATGATTAATATTTTAGTTAGTAAATCAAAAGTGTTTAATTTTTATTAGGGAAGGGAATTTTGGATTTGGTGTCAGTTGTCAGATAATACTCTTCGGGTTTTGTTACGTGTTTTATGAGATATATCAATGATGAATTTTTTTTTCGTCTAAAGATTCTCATAATATATATGTACTATTTTTTTTCGTGACCCTTTTAAACCGACATGGCGTGGATAACATCACTAATCTTGCGCGTCATCTTTAAACTTGCGAGGCATCCCGTTACGTACATTATTAGTGATGCATATGTTTCTTTTACTAGTTTCTAACATGCAATGAGCTTGCGCCCATAACAGTTGTGCAATGACTTTAAGTTCATCGCAAGTTCATATAGATTTTGAGCTCATCGTAACTCATTTCAGGTTATGAATTCATCGCATGTCTATGCGATTCCGATCTCATTATAGATATATGTCCATTTATAAAATCATCGTAGGCATTCATGTTATTAATTTAGTAACTTCATTTAATCTGTAGGCATTTAACTACATCGATCCAACATAAAGATCTACGATATGCATGCATGTCCCAAAACTTTTGGGCAATAACATGGAAAATTAAGATTTGAAGTTAATAATATGGGAATTCATTAATTAATTAAGGTATTTATCATATGCTAAGAGTATATCATCAAAACTTAAAAGGACAAGAGAAAAAAAAATGTTTTGCTTAATTAAGTCAGTGCACATACATGACAAGGGATCCAATTGTTAATTTATTACACATTGCTCTGTGCAATTAATCCCCTCTTTCTCTCTTTGTCACATTGAGAGGGCAATGAAAGTAGTGGTGGTCCATTGACTGCAACAGGCCTTTGCAAACTCTGTTGGGGTCATTGGACCTAGACAAAAACTTTATCATGTACCACTTAATTACTTATTGTCTCATATTATAGTCCTTTCTCTAGAGTTATCGGTTCTGTACCAACATTCAACAACCCATTACCCACCATGGTTCATAGTTTTATTATATTTTCTTTAATAATTTCCTTTTATTATTAATTGTTGAGTTGAGAATAATCAATGATCCTATATAAAAAAGAAAAGAAGAAAAAGCTAGCTAAGCTCAAAATAAACACGATGGGATTAGGGAAATAAAACATTATCTTCTTGTACGTGGAATAAACACATTTGAGAAAGAATCTAATGGATGTGACAGCCTTCAGCCCGCAGGCTCCACGAAAGAAGATGTCACCCAAAGTGATGGGGACATGAGTTCCATGTGCCATCTTATTGAGCATAAACATATATATATGGAACAAACACTTTACAATGCTTTGCGACTGCTAGCCACATGGACATGATGCAGGCCGTTGGAGTTTGGAGGCCCTCACCTCAACTCTGACATTTTATCAAACAACTAGTAGGCCGGACGGACCTCATCAATGCCCCTCCCCTTTACCCCCCTCTACACAGCGACACGTAACAGATATTGAGTATTCTCGACTTCGAAGCATCAAGCTCACTGACATATATAATTCATCGTCCCCAATAATATCATCGTTGTTTTCTGCACGTACGAATGCCCGCCATGCATTAGCTTTGGCTGCATACGCATAGAGAAAGAAAGAAAGAAAGAAAGAGGGGCGACGTGTGTACTCACAGAGAGACGATAGAAAATATAAAGACACGGAATCAGCCAGACACGTTGACATCTCAACAGGTGACGGGATCTGCTCCTCACAAATGGGCGCCAAGTGTGAGGAGCAGATCCGGTCTCATGGAGGGAAGCGTGGAGAAGGCCCCCGGCCGCCTGCACGCAGCACGCCTCGGCTTCCTCTCTAGCTGTTGCTGTTGGTCATGGCGAAATCAGTGGCTTTGTCGCCTTGCTTTCTCACCTGTCATTGGGTCCTGCAGCACATGTGTCGTTTATTCTTTCTTTCTTTCACGAATTGTCTTTCTTTCGTATTTAAGAATAACTGCTGAGAGAGACCGGTATTCTTTCTTTCTTTCACGAATTGTCTTTCTTTCGTATTTAAGAATAACTGCTGAGAGAGACCGGATCTGCTCTTCACACTTGAGGCGCCTCACACGCATTGGGAACATCTCCTGTGCTGTGAGGCGCCCATTTGTGAGGAGCAGATCCCGTCACTCCCTCCATCCTACCTCCATGTCTAGCTAGTAGAAGTTAAGATACCCTATATGAAAGCGACCATCTCTCTGCTGCTAGTCTTTGCTTATTTCATTCCATTATACCAAATATCAATGGCCGTTTGCCATTTTGCGGCAAAATTGTGTGTATACGATACAGAAAATTTCATGTTAACACCTAAAATTAGCTTCTCTTTTTTCTTTCTTCTTGGACTTTATGGGCCCATAAAGTTTTATGGGCCTTCCTGCCTCCTATATTTGTGTATAAGTAACGTCATCATACACATAATATTTTCTATTCGTTTATAGAAAATGGAAAAAGTAACCATATCCGAACTAATGGTGTAAGATAAGTTAAATAAAAGTGTAAAATACAAAACCTCTCCTGAAGTTTTTGAAAATCATTAAAACCTCCTCTTTAATTTCAATTTAATAAATACATTTCCTGAACTTTTAAAAAATTATACAAATACCTCCCTTCCATCACTAATCCAAAGGGAAAACGTTGAACTGAAGCATTAGTTTTTTAAATATCCATTTTACCCTTTTGCAAATTATTTTACATACATTTTTATTGAAATACCCCTATTTGAAACTCAACAAAATCCTCATTCGATCTCTTTATCCTCTTTCATATTTTTTCATGGTCCAAGGCCCTAGACCATGGCAAGAGACTAGTGTGCTCTCTATCTTTGTTCTTCTACTACTGCTTTTTACTGATTTCACTATTTCTCTAGATCCTCCTCAGATCTCCCCAGCTCTTACGCCTAACACCAAAAATCCAGCTCCCTCTTTTCCCCGCCAACAAGACTCCCTCATTTGCACCTTCTATCCTGGCTTCTTTACCGGATGTCATTTCTCTTGAACACAAACAACCAATTGAGGATACTAATTAGTATGGACCATGGTTTTCAAAATCGAACCGGACCGGACGGTCGGACCAAAAAAACCGAGAATCGATCAGGTGATCGGTTTCGGTTTTCCCCAAAACTAGAAATTTGCCCAAAATCATTGATTTTGGTCAATAAACCRCTGACCCGGGCGGTTAATCGTTCGAATGATTTTGACCGTTTTTTTGTTTTTTATTTTTTTTTATTTTTTGTTAGAATGGGTCGACCGTTCAGGTTGAAAAGTCGAACCATTCAACCTAGGAACCAGACCCCTGACCGGTTCGGTCTCCGGCTCGTTTTTGGAAACCACGGTATGCACTATGGAATACTAATAGTATACATGTGAACTGCTCTTCACTTTGGGCATATCAACTCTAGCCTCTAGGACTGAAGAAATAGAGGACCGGTTTGGATAATTTGGCATCCTGATTATAGAAATCATTCTAAACAAAAGAGCTCAATTAATTACCACTTCTTTTAAATATTGAGAGCATGTCCATCTTTGCTCGGAGATTCGATGCCTTGCTGAAATAGTCGTGCTCATTGAGGTCAGAGCAAACACCATATGTTTTCCATGTATTTTTTCATTGGTGGCAACTGTCACTGCTTGGGTATTTGATGCTAGGCCAGTAGCTATACAAGCTCTTCAAGTCCGAGATCTACATTGGATCAACAGGAGAATATAATCATGGTGAGAACTTTAAATGTGTACAATCTAGTAAGAAATTCCTTGAAAAGGATGCTACTGGCTACAACGAACTAGATCAACTTTGCTAATTAGTTCCATTAATGATCCAGTCATGAGATCATATATAAGCGTAGTTTGAACTTCAAGAGCATGTGATATGTAAAGTGTAAACCAACCTCATCAAGATAGAATGGGCTCATATTGCATTATGTAAAAGCTTTCCCGTCATTAGAGTAAGGCAGTTGGAGGCCTTTCACAAGGAAGTCAAGTTCAGGTTGGCCGGTCTTGGGAAGGCAACACCCTGCATGCACTAAGAACCACGCCACTGCAAATTATTACCATGCTACACCCATGTTAGATATATCAAACTAAGGATAAAACCAGTCACACTCGTCTCCGTGGGAGGTGCGAGTACAAGAACAACAACAATGCTAGAAAAGCTATAAGGACGTAAGAAGCCATGCTGTGTTTCGATGAGAGAGGAGTGGTTGAGAGCCCAAATCCCAACCACAGGCCAAAGATTAACTAGGACTAGGAGAGGGGATGGTTTGTTGAGGAGAAGATTCATGACCCACTCATTAACACCTTTTTATAGTCATTCATGCAGCTGCAGCTGGAAAATTAAAACAAGGCCAGAACAGCCATCAGATTCATCATTGGCGCTTGTATATTAGCTTCTTAGGTTTTGTTTACAAGAAACACAAAGATAACATCTGCAAGTACGAGTACGCCTCGAGGAGAGAACTTCTTTGAGTCTAAGATTGTTACAATGTTCTTTTTAGAGATGAGATCTTGATGATGTTGAAAAGATGATAATTCGTTCAATATATTCTTTTAGCATACGTACTTGATGATGGACGATTTGCTTCTGAAAAATTGGGATTTGAATTTCTTTAACTGAGAGCGTCGATTCTTCCTTTGTTAGTTAGTTTAGTTCTTTGAACTTTATTTTGCATGTAATATGATGTTATTGCTAAAGACTAGTAGTGTTACAACTTTTTCATCGATCGCTCTGTGTTCGTCCAAATTCCGAATCTCGCTCTCCATCTCTCCCACCTTCCTTTTGTCCATACCTCATCTTTTTGTTTCAATATCACTAAGTATTAGTTTTAGACCATACATGTGGATGAGTGATGTCGATCCATAACTCCAAAGGATCCAATGCAAGAAGCTTAAAAAATGCCCTAACGATTTAGTTAGGGATAATTTTATAACTTTACACATTTTCTGTTGGGATTAATGACGGAAGGGAGGTTTTTGTTGACTTTTTCAAAAATTTAGGGGAGGTTTTTGTTAAATTGAAATTAAAGGGGAGGTTTTTGTATTTTACCCTAAAAAAATTGGTAAACCTATCTTATGGACTCTTTTCCACATTGCTTGCTTGTTAGTCGAATAGCGCACCTCAAACCATATATTGCCCCAATTAGGGGTGTCATTGGCATTTAAAAATCCAATTTCGAATTCAAGATTCAACATCATTGAATCGAATTCGGATATGATCTAATTCAATTAGATAAATATCCAAATTCAATTAATTATTTAAATCTTATATATTTATATGACGTACATATAATAATAAGTAAATTATTTAAATAATTCATCTATTTGTATACTTTATATAAATTAAATATTTATTAATTACCTAAAATAATTAATTGGTTGAATTTGAATTGAACCAAATGTTGTTTGATTATTCAAATTTGATTTGTTTACACACGTACCCCCAACTTGAATGAAGACAAGACTCAATCATAGGTCTTTGCTATAACCAAGGTGTCGTTTGGCAAGTATTTCTTAAAAGATCTTTTGGTAGACCTGACACAGAAAAGATGATGTGAGATTTTGCATTAAGATCTTAGTAGCCTAAAGAATATTTGGTTAAGTCACGTCTTTCCGTGCGAAGACAAAATGAAAAAAGTCGAAAAACTTCATTTAGAGCTTCCCAAAGATAGCCCAAAATGGGCTTCGCGTGTCTTTTCAAGGCAGCATCTTTTGACAGTTAAATCTTTTCCCAACTAAACAAAAAAAGGACCAAAAAGCAGGCTATCGAGCTTCTAAATAGTTGACAACCTGAATGAAAAAACGCACCAAATGAGGTCCAAGACTAGAAAGCTAGTTGGTACCTTATCACTTCACAAATTTATATTAAGACATTATATTTAAATGAATATCACTTTATAACCTTTAAATAGAAAGCATATTAAAATTACTTATTGATCATTTTATACAAAAGATATATGCATAGGAAATTGTCCACTTTCACTTTGGGTATAATTTGGATTGCAATTCAACTTAGGAATGCCCACAATTTATTAATCATGGGTACATTTTTTTCAAAGTTTAGCTTTTCGGTTTGGTTATACATACATACATACTAACCAATTTAGTTATCACAATTTTCTTTCCTAGATTAACTGAAATCAAATCGAAAACGAAACCTATGTGTTGGATTAATCGATTTTTTTTATTTGAATTACCTATTTCAGTTCTATTTTTTGGTTTCTCGGTTTTTCATGAGCACCCTTAGATTAGGATTGGACCAGCTTGGCCGAATTAAAAAAAAAAGGAAAATTCCCGATTAGTACCCTAATCTCAAGTCAGTGCTCGAACTTCAAAACGTGTCTATGTAGTGCCCATACTTTTAGAATGTGTCTAATAGGTCCCTGTTGTTAACTGTTCGTTAGTTAATTTTGGAAATGTCAAAACTACCCATCAAGTATCATTTAATTTTCCTTATCTACCACTTCCACATAAACCAATTTGAACAAAACTCCTTCCATTTAAATCTTGATTCCAATAAACTATGTTGTCGTTCCATCTTTAAACAGTGTCCTCTTGTTTCAAGGTAGAAAGAACTGTGAAGTAGCGAAATTAGGAGGAAACAGAGAAAGAACTGGTTTAGTTTGAAGGTAGAAGACAATGAATAGTATCTTCTTTCAAAGGGTAGTTTTGATATTTTCAAAAATTTTAAGTGGCTCATGTGATACAAATAACTAACCTACTAGATATATTCTGAAAGTTGGAATACTGCATAAATACATTTTAAAGTTGGGGAATTGACTTAAAACAGTCTTAGGCTATGTTTGGTTTGAAGAAAAATATAGGGAAAGGAAAGAAAAGGTAAATAGACATTTACAAATCTTATATTGGTTATCCTACCTTTTCCTTCAAACCAAACATAACCTTAAAGTTAATGGTAATCACAGGAATTTTCCTAAAAAAATACCATAAGGCTTATTTCACTTAACAGAGTAAAGGAGTAGCTGATATATAAACACAATTGACAAAACAGAGGGAGAGAATAGTTTACTTTATTTTTAACATAAAAGAAAGAGAATAGTTTCCAGCCTCAGCCTCAGCCCAGCAATAGGCAAGTACGAATGAAGAAAGTATGGTTAAAAGCAAGCTTATGATACAAAGTAACCATGGTTAAAGAGTAACCAGAAGCTGGAAACTGACCTGACCATGGTTAAGGAACAAGAGTCAAGTGCAGAAGAAACTGCCCATAATCGGTTGTTGGTGGCCTCTTTCCTAACCTCTATATAATAGGTGAGAATTAGAAAGCCCATCCTCGACTGTCCAATCCACATCTCGGATCCGATGAATCTCCAACTTCCTCTTTCCTTTTTTCTTACTTCCATTACTTGAAGAAAACTGGACCTGAGAAAACAAGCAAAAATTAAATCTCACTCCAGACGCAAGGCTCGATCTTGAAAAAACTCACGATGTAAGTTTCTCTTTCTGTTCATTCCTCAGTGTATGTGATGTTTTTCTTCTTTCCGTTTCCGTTTCCGTTTCAAGTGTTCAATTCATTTTGTTCTTGACAAACGGTAGATCTGTATCCGAAAACCCTCGTGTCTTCTGTTGTGTGCATTCTGATTTATTCTAATGTAGAAACCTTGAGTTTTCTCTCAAGGCTGATCTTGTGATACGGCAATCTTAATTTCTTGGTTAGGATTTTTGTTTTTGTTTTTGCAGTTTTTTTGTTGGAAAATATAGATCTTATCCTTTCCCTCTTCTTCTTGTGCATTTTTCTCTATCTATGTTGACGATCTCTTTTCCTCCTCGGTATAGTCCATAGATGTTAATGTCTACTCTGTCTCTTAAATTTAATATCCCTCCCTTCATTTTCTTTCTGATTTGGTTCTTTAAACCCTCTCCACTGTGCTTTCCCTCTTAGCTGTTGAAAGATGTCAGATCTTTCTCTATTGTACGAATAGTAAGGAGCTCATTTTATGTCTCGAGTCTATTATTCACTTTATGTTATTCGATTTTTTTTAAAAAAAAACCTGAACAGCCGATCTTTTGTTTTTTCAGATATGTTCTTGATGCATCCATCCGGTTTGTTTTCTCTTCTGTGGAATTTGATTGAGCTGTTTATCTCCGTCTTGACTGTTGAGTTTTTTCACCATCCATCTGGTTTGTTTTTAACGATGTCGTAATATTTTTTCCTGAGTTTCTTACCTGTCGAGGATATATTTGGTTTTTCCTTCACTGTGATTCAGCAACGGATGGGTTGCTTAGCGTTTCTGGAGGCTTATAATTTAATTGAGTGGCTTTGTGGAATGTCTTACTTTGGTAATCGAATTTGATCCTTTTCGTTGAATTTTTGGATTTTTTCTAATTGAATGTATGCTGTGATCCTTCGTTCCTCTTTTCCATTTAATTCCAACCATAATTTATTTAATATCTTTTCATCGTAGAAATGATTTTACATTGACTGTCAATTCGCTAATTCTGCTTCTAAGTCATTTCATTTCTTCCCTCATGTTCCTGTTGACATGCAATATTCTGATTTGTTTTTCTGTTTCTCTTTGAATGTTTCTCTTTTTCCAGATAAATATATTGGAGGATAGAAGCTCGTCCTTCTACTTCAATCGAGAAATTAAAGTTCCTGACAGTAATACCAGAAAAAAGACCGCTATTTCCTGCCCCTGTCCTTCGAAAGTTGTTGTAGAGCTCTCGTCCTCTGTTTGATCGCAGATTATAATTTTTAGCAACTTTTTTTTATAATTTCAGCTGGCTGTTGACGTTCATTCCCATTTTCATATTGCGCCCAACATCAAATTCTGCATTAGCTCTGCTCAATTTCCCCTGAAAACTAATTAATAGATAAAAAACCCTGCAATCCCCAAATTCCAGTCTTCATTCAAGATGGGCCTATCAAGCCTCCCTGCACCATCCGAAGGAGTTCTCTGCGTCCTCCTTGTAAATACAGCCCTCTCGATCTCAATTTTCAAAGGCATCCTCCGGTCCATCCTTCACATTGTTGGAATCCGTTTATCATTATTATCGTCGCCATCAGATTCCTTTGAGACGGCACCACCAGAGCCTTTTGAGTTTCGTGTAACACCATCAAGTACTTTCATGGAGGAGTTCCGGTGTCGGATTCCAGCCATTCGCTTCAGCTCCATTTTTGACGATAATTGCTCTGACCATGAGTGTTCTGTCTGCTTGACACGGTTTGAACCGGATTCCGAGATAAATCACCTGTGCTGTGGTCATTTCTTCCACAAGGTTTGTTTGGAGAAGTGGTTGGATTATTGGAACATAACGTGTCCTCTGTGCAGAACGCCTCTGATGCAAGAAGAAGAACATGGAGAAGAAGAAGAAGAAGAAGCATCTTCTTGCATTTGGTAGACGAGTACCGGAGACTCACTGGTTCGTATTGGGTGGGGGGTACTGCTGAATGCGATGGCACTCATCTCATCTGGATTAGTGTGTACATAGCTGTCTGTATACAGTCCTAGGGCTAGAGGGGGCTGTTGTGTACGTGGGTGAGGAGGGCGTATTTTTAAATACGTGTCTTGTACGCTAATGTTTTGCGTGAGGATGATGACAGCTTTTTGTCACAGAAAGTTGTTAGTTAGTGTACAGATTTTGTAAATTACTGCAACCTTCTTGGTTGCTTTGTTTTCTACCTTAACCTTAGGTTGTCTGCTTGCTTGTGTGTGGACTGTGGAGGTTCAGCTAGCATTACCACCAATTCTTTTTAGGTTAATAAAGTGGCAGTTTTTTCTTTTTCCGTATAAATGTGCAGCAAAGCCCAGGAAGTTCACGATAAAGGTAACCGGAAGAGTCTGAACTAATATCATGGGCCCGAAATCTCTCTCTCTCTCTCTCTGCGAAAAAGCAACAACAATTGGATAACTTGTTGAAATTTGAATTTGATTTTCTTCCTGGCATTTTAAAAGTTGGGATTCTTGATTCCCCAGTTTTGGGTTAAGGAATCCGCTGCCATTATAGATGCTTCATGCAGAGCACCCGTCACGGTTGATGTTTCCAGTAGCAGGACCGGGTCTAAACAGTCCTTAGAATTACAGAGCTAAAGGTGAATATACAGTAATGGACAGGCATATTCATGAAAGAGAAGAGAGTAAAGATCAGAAAGTGATCTAACAATCATAGATAAGCCAAGTAATCAATTAAACAATTAAATGTGAATTACAGTAATGAACCTTATTTAACACTGAATCTCGGATTGCAAGTTATTTCTGCGTTGCTAGTTTTCTATGGATTGGATAAGGTCATTATGAAAGCTACAGAGAACAAAAGAAATATGGGCAGCAGCGAGCTCCGCAAGATATGTATCCTTATGAGGCAGATTACATACACCTTTGTAGCCACCTCATAAGGTCTTATCTGTCGGCTCCTTATGAGGCAGATTAGCATCTCCAAAAGGAGATGCAGATTACATACACAGCCGGAAGATCTTCTCTGTCGGCTCCTTTATTATGGCTATGGCTATGGTGTTACTTGCTTTTCCTTTCTATTATCTTAGACCCCATCTTGCTTCCAGAAACTCCTTCCTCCTTAATATCCTGTCCAACTTCCTTCTTGACTACTCTTTTTTCCAACTCCATTGCTTGTTTTGCATCTGTTTTCACTTTTTTTTCAGATATATTTTGAACTGTAACTTTCCCTGCACTCTCTACACCTTTGTAGCTCTCGCCTCCAGCACCTGGTATCTGATGTCCACCTCCATGAATGATCTCATTTTGTGGGGGCTTGCGAGTATTTGACCTGGCACCTCTCTCCTGATCGAAGAAAAGGACTTGTACTACTGTTCTCAAAGGAAGACGCTCATTCCTTACGGCATGTGCGCATACCTCTGGAGATAATTTCTTGCAGTCTAGGATTCGACAAAGGCGCTTCTTCTCTGCTTTGCTTAAATCTGGGTGCTCCTATCATCATCAATAAAGGCAAGTTTAGTGGTTAATTATATGCTGCACAATTCAAATTTGCACATGATGTTTTTTTGCACTCCACATATTTGTACTTGTACTCCTTCCAAACTGAACCTATATATCTTGCGTGTCCATTGCAAGATTGCTAGATAGAATGCATAATTGGTGGACACAATAATGACACAGAACTACCTCCGTGTGTATGTGTGTAAGCAACAATTTCTCTGTAACAAAGACAGATTGTATGCCACAACTCATCCATGTCAAGGCCTACTACTTGTGCATCCATGGCATGACACCTTAACAAGTTTGAATTCCTAAGCAAAAACATTCTTTTTTATCTTCTTTCAAATCTAAATGCTTTACCTTGAGATAGATGTTGATTGCCTTGTAAAGATCATCGTGTTCTGTCCGGGCAATTCCTGGCAAGGATTCTGCAAGAGTTACTATCTTCAACGAAGGCATGTTGACATCCCTCGCCACAACTTGGAGATATGAATCAACAAGCTGTGCCACTTTCCTTATCACTCTTACAGACTCGCTGTCATCTGGGGAGGCCTGTCTTCGCCATTGAACCAGGAAACTTTCTAGAACTGCCCCCACTAAGTCAATATCATAAAAGTGTCGATCTGTAGAAGAGTGTGAAGGAAAGAGCAAGTCTCTCACTGTTGTTTCCTCTAGTTGTCTGCCTGCTCTCTTTATGAGCTCAGCCTTAGTCGAATGGGACACCCCAAGAAAGTTTGCCTCGCTGAGTAGTCTCAACAAGAACCCAATAGAAACTGATCCCCTGTCACTAGGAATCATACTCACAATGATCTCAAGAACCTGTTGATGTTTCTCCTTGGTTTGTTCAGTTGGAAACACTGAACACTCTGTGATCCTGCGCTGTGCTGTTTCTGGTAGCCATCTACATGCATAAACATGCAATGCTTCCCCAATCAGCTGCGGTGGTAGCATCTTTGTTGACCCGATGGCAGTGATTATACATCTAAAAAGGTTTATGTCGAGATTGGATATATCCTCTGTCCACCAATCCTTGGGGACGGAATGGTGGCGCTTTTCTGTGTATCCTGGCCTAGTGTAAGTGAAGGACCATGTGACCTACAAAGATTAAAAGTAATTAGTCTTGGGGGGGGGGAGAGAATGTTTAAATTTTGCCTTGTTTTACTCCTTTACTCTGTATTTTGGTTGCAATTCAGAATACTAATCACTTTCAGTTTCTAACTAACCTTGGATGGGTGTGTGAGAATTCTCTCCACAATTGAGTCCATGCACCGCCTGACGATTCCAAGATTTTCAGACCACTCTGGTAGCTCTGCTGTGGTTTGTAGAGTGACAATCGAATCTTTCCAACCTTCGAGTATGCACGAGTTGAAGAAGGTTTCAAGTTTCATGACAAAATTTCCCTTCTCAACAGATTCACTCATCCTAAGAAACTTTGCAGCACACAAAGCGGGCACAATGTTGTGAGCACTGAGACTAATGGTAATTCCATAGCAGAACTTTGCACAAAGCTCAAAAGCTGCTTCTCCTCCAGGAGCATCATGGAGTCCTACTACCGGTATCTCACTATGGTTTCCAGCATCAGAACAGAGTCGTTGTAAGAGGCCGCACTTTGGAAGAAGTGGAAACTACATTTAAGAATATAAAAAATTAAGAAACATCCAATTGATTTTGAGTCGTAAAGAAATTATTATGAAAACTAAGAAAAGAAAATGTGATTGCTGATGTTTATTTTCTCCATTTCGTGTGCTCATGGACTCTTCACTGGTATTCTCACAACCACCTTTCACTTGGAAAAGAAAAGGATTAGATCTTGGGATTAGTACGAGATTAGGTCTGGATGGGTGATTATTTGTTCGTTTGTAGGCTTAAGGTATTGGAGTCTTCAAATGTTTAAGAGACTCCATAACTTTAACACTAGTTAATTTCTTCCTGTCCACGTGTTTACTGCAATTGCTTTTGGATAACCTGCTAAAATTTTCACCATGTTTTTTTGGTCTTGGTTCCTGTATGTGCTTTGCCATGATAATACCTTCAATGATGATTTCTTATTGATTTTTTTGTGGATCCTGGTGCTTTATCACTTCGAATTAGTATCTGTTTAGGCAATTTAGGTCGGGGCAGTGAAGTCTTAGTAAAACTGCAGGAAGAAGTGATCCACCCTGCCTGCTATCGGTATATTGCAGATGTAATTGGGATCTAGAGATTGCTGTTTGGTGACAACCAGAAGATTTTGTATATTCACTGACATAATCAGTTTTCATAACAATCTAATTTGAAGGAACTTTCTTCAACATATGCAATTCTTCCCCCACTTGCGCTCCAAATTAGCCTGCAATATGCCAAATGCATATGATGATAAAATTGGATTGTTTTTGTCCCAGGAGATCTCCTAGGTTAATCCAGCAAGTTTTGGGCTATTCTCTCTCTTTTCTATGTGTCTATTGAGGATGCTGAGTGGTGACCGATCCTTATGAAGCTCTTCATCAATCAAATTTTCATGAGAAATGTAACTGAAGTAGGACTTACCTTATGAAGCAGATATTTTATGTTGTTAATTTGTATGATGAGGTCACTAGGCACATCTGAAGACACAGATCTGCATGGTTGAAACAAATTTCCTTCCAGACATTAATTTTCTTTCTTAGTTTTTTGATAGAAGGGTGACATTGACTCTGATCAGCAATGCCTAAGGTGATTATAAAACATCATACCTGGTAGCCTCTTCTGTGTAGAAAGTATCGGGCCTAGTCCCTAGTTTCATAAACTTCATCTTTGTTTTGGCTTCTAATTAAACTCATATGATATGCTCCTGAGTAGTGCGGACTTTATAAAATTAATCCATGTTCCTTGCCTGCCATAGACATTACTTTGAAGGAAACCTAAAGAAACATTCCATTCATTTTCACGGAAACAACTAAAGAAACCACTAACAGAACATTGAATTAGAGAAAAACATTAATTCATAAAAAATATTGCTATCACCATGTATAGACAGTAATGCAAACCTACAATTGTGAAATTGTGCCGTACATTTTGATTGTGAGATGTAATTAGCAACCCTAAAATGGCCATTACCCAATGTGGGTCTTTTCTGGGTCTTGAGAGTAGACTAGATACAGTCCTAACTTTTGGCATTTTTTTTGCACAAAGTGGCTAAAATCGGATTTGATCATCACAAAACCGTCCTCACAGCCCCTTGCAGTTGTGTATTAGGAATATCTCGCCATAAATAAAAACCTACAAATATGGAGATGTTCCTAACGCATGCTGCAAAAGGCTGTGGGGACGGTGTGAGGAAGATTCTGTGACGATCAAATCTGAACTCAAAGTGGCCACTCTCATATTGGAAACCATGTTCTCACACTTGCCAGCCCAAGATTTTACCATTGCACCGAGTAAGCATGTCAATGCTATAGAGTAAAGACTAACTACTCTTTTATAATCCAACTATCCAAGTAATTTATCACTTTTCCTCCATATAAAATTTACAAAAATTAGACCTAAGGTGTATTTTTTTTTATAGATAGGAGTATATGAATTCTGTCTTTCATTGTATTCTATATATCAAGAGCTCATGCTTTCTATCAAATTGTAAGTAATCCTCAACTCAAAAGCCACTTGAATCCACTTGTCTCTTTTAGAGGTAGCCTTTTACTTGCATCAATTACTCCACATAGATACAGTCATTAGTAGAGCATAGCATATGAGAATATAAACTAAAAATTGGTAGAACCATCTATCTAATGAGATGATAACAATTGCCACTAAGAAAGAAATAAATAACCAAAAGCTTCAGCATTGGTATGAACATGTTTTCTTGAAGGAATTGATTATATGTCCCAAACAAAGGCATAAAAGGCCAAAAAATATGTTGATGGAAGGAGAAAAAGAAGAAGAAAGGAGAAACAGGGATGGAAATTCGAAAATGAAAGAGGTTGAGCTATAGAATGCCGTAGTCCTTGGCTAGCGGTGGTATTGATAAGTTCAGTAGCACACATGCACCTGCCATTCACCAACGCATGCAACTTAGGAAGTAGTACTGTATTACATACCTCTGGTCCAACAAAGATTCCCATAATTTGCTGCCCACTACTGTAACAAGGCCTGATCCCTATGAGACAGAAGAGAGCTAGCTTTTCTTTGGGGCGGTTGATGTTGGGAAGGGTTGGGTAAGGGCGTGGGAGAAGAGGAAACAGGCTCAGTAGTCAGTACTACACCCACAACTAATGAACCAAAGCTTTTCAGTATGCATGGCTTTTGATTGTAGCTATAAGCTTAAATTTCACAATATAAAATGAAGAGATAAACCACTACAATATAATCTTGGCTGAACTTCCATCTTTACGTCTGTTTGTTGAGTCGATTAGTCGAATCAGTGGTCTCGCCACACGTATCAACAAGGCCATAATAGACAAGTTTTGGTCCTGACTCCTGAGTAGAGCCTATCAAAGGCCACAAACTTTTACCAGTATACATAGACTTTAACAGGAAAAACAATCGGTTTTGTCTCACCTGTTTACACCTAATGGGGGACCTCTCTATTTTCCATGCATATATTCTATGAGAGAATGAGTGACATCCCATAAAATCTCAGGCAATTTGAAGGCCAGATTATGCTCTCTGTCACTTTCTTTTTGGACACTATGTGCTGCAGCATAGTGTCTAAATCTTAATTCGTCGTCATTTATTCATTGAGGCCACAAGTGGTGCTGCGTGCTCTACACACTGGTGGTGATAAAAGGAGCCACGGTGGGTTCATGGCACAGTTTATAGATTGGGCTCTGATCTGAGAAGAGTATAGGAGGAGAGACGCCGATCGAGACGCCCATGTTTTTCAAAGTGGGCAAACGTCAAGTTTGCATCGATCATGGCCGGCTCCAACGCAATCTTTACGTTATCACTAGATGTTACAGGATCGACCCTAACAGAAGACTACAGAGGGACCATTAATTTGCTACCTTTTTTTCGTGCTTATTAATGAATCCAGCAACCCCAATAAACTCCTAAAACGTGTTTACTTTATTTATTTATTGTTCCTATCCACTGGAATTTTCTTTTCTTTCGACTATGTGGTGATTGGTGAGGTTCATTTTTTATTCAAAATTTTTTAACAGGATTATATATGACATTAATGAGTACCTTTATTAAAGGTTATCCAGATCTTCTTTTGACAAAGGTTTGAGAATCTCTTCTTTTGTAACAAAAAAGATAAAGCGCATTCATTCGTGGGTGAGAGCGATGATTTCATGATGGGGAAGAAAGAAAACCATGACAAGTCTACCATCTGTAACATTATTTGCCTCCAAAATTCAAACACCAAAATGAGATTGTAAACTGACTTTAGCTTCAACCCAATGAATGATAAACACGTTAGGGTTCTTTTATGGAGAGTTACTCAATTAGAGAGTAATCTCCTACTATGATCTCCACCCCTAGTTGTGAAAATCATGGGTATCTGAGTTTTTTCTTTTCCTTTTTTTTTTTTAACTAGTAGCAGGAAATACGAAATACGGACAATAAAGAAAGACCCATTTGAAGCAAGTTTCCGTCAATCAATTCATATATACTGGAATAAATAAAACACCACCACCAAGTACCAACCCTCTCTGTACTGGTTGGGTGACGGAACTGAGGAGCCAAAGAAGATGAATATAAATAATAAGCTGTTAATTAGCATGCTCGATAATGCCACGGGGAACATTGGCAGAGTAGTTTTTAAGAAGGAAACAAAAATGAATACCAGAAAATATCACAAAACTCCGCTGAATCTCACTTGAACCTGATCGACCTCTGCCGCTGTAAGCCTGTAAGTTGTGCTTAGAACTCGGCTACGAAAATTGCTCAAGCTTCGCTTCAAAGCCTGACGATCGGAAAAACAAATCCAAATGATACATCTATACATAGACATGCATATAAATAACGCAAGACATCTTTGTAGAGAATGAAACGGAGAAATTAGAGAGAGGGGGGATCCGGAGGAGATAATTTTACCTATCAAATAGAGAGAGAGAGAGAGAGAGAGAGAGAGAGATGGCTCAAAGGACTGAAAGTAGGGGGAGGAGGGGTTCATGGGTTTCTGTCCTACTTCTATTCACCATTAATAAAATACGGAAGCTAATGAAAAAGGAAGCCCAGAGGACATGATGTTTGAATAATAGAGGTGGTTTGGTTGGTGTAGTCAACATAGTAATGTAACCATTACATGGTGCACACATGATGATAAGCTGCTTGAATAGAACAGAAAAGAGAAAAGAGAAAAAGAGTTGAGAGAGAGAGGGTTAGAGGTTTATGTTGGGTTTGGTGCGTAATAGTATTGATTGAAATTGAAAAGAAAGCAAAGTGGGTTCTACCTCTTAAAGGTGGGGAAGGAGTAGAAAGATGTTCTGTGCATCTCCATGATTGTTCCCCCCACTATGTAGGTATATTCTTGTTCCTAGAGAGCTCCTGATCTTACTGTCGGCCACGTGGCTAATAAGACATCTCTTGTCCTTAGAATTGGATGATGGAAATGGAATGAATCTCCACTCCATCGTCTAATAAGCTACCATTAGCCGACTGATTTGTATATATAGCTTGTTTGGATGGAAACCAACACGCCATGCATCCATCTTCCATAGTCCTAAGTGGACAGGTGCTCCTCTCTCCCTCTGTGTGTGTCCGGTGTCCCCACTCGTATGACACGTGTATTATGCATTGACATTTTGGGGTGCACCGTGCACGATTGGACTGCATTGGGCAGCCAGGGTCATCTGTATTGACTATTGAATGATAACCATTAAATGACCGGCCCTAGCTGTTTCCAAACCTCCCTGAGACCATGGTTCTTATTCTTAATTAGGGTGAGGGCGGGAGGAGTACTCTGTACTGGCTACCAACTGAGGTCCCACTTGGTTGAATTTGAAGCAATGGCCAATGGGATTTGGACACGTGGATGGATAGTACAATTATACAAATGCATGAGCGCAAACATGATTAACTGGAGGGGATTCCAGTACAAAAATTGTCGGGCCATATTTCAAAACATGCCGGGCCCCGGGTCCGGTCATGCCCTCTACCCATATATGTAGTTGCTTCAGACTTCACGATGGCAATCGTGACTGGAAGGACTCTCCAGGGAGTGTGAGTGGAATGGGATCCCAGTACATCTTGCTAAATTTGGCTCTTACCCTCTTTCTTTAGTTGGAACAGACCACTGTGTGCAATTTTATTTCTATTTCTATTAAATTAAAAATCTTGTAAATTACAATTATAATAGAACCTAGGTTGTGTTTGTGTAATTTTGTATGCAAAGTTTAAAATATCTATACACTATACACACTGATATATGTATATGTCGATATAGTTGATGTTTTTTAATTTTATAATAATGAGAGGATCCTAGAAGAGATCTGCGACTTTTAAAAAGTTTTTAAAATGTTTGTATATCAATATGTTTCGAACATATTGAATATATCCTGATGTTGTTAAGGGTGTCAATGGACCGGTTTTGGAATTAGACCCCGTCCAGTCCAAAATCAATTTAGACGGATTGGACGGACCGACAAAACATATTGGATTGGATTAATCCGGCCCAAAATGTTTATTAGATTGGATTGGACTTGATCCATCCATAACAAATTTATACTGGATTGGATTGGATTAAGCCAATATCTGATCCACTGATACAAGATAAGCATATATGTGTCAGTGTCAATGGACCGGGTTTGGGTTGAAACCAATCTAAATCTAAATGAATTTGAACAGATTGGATGGTCCACATTGATCCAAAACATTTATTGGATTGGATTGGACCCGATCCATTTATAATGGACTCACATTGGACTGGATCGGATTGGACCAAATCCAGTCCAATTGACACCCCTAGATGTATCGATATTCTAATCTTTAATTGTGCATGTGCCTGCATTTTCTAATATTTTTTTGGAGAAATTTCCATACTTTGGGCCTAGTGCCACTTTGGTCATCGAACTTTAAAATGCAACAATTCAGTATTTGAACTTTCAAAATATGTCAATCTAGTACCTACCATTAACCCATCCGTTAACCAGCAGTTATGTGGCATTTGAAAAAAGACACAAATGCCCTTCGAGTGTCATCTAATTTTCTTTATCAACCATTCAAACTTTGATAAAAAAATTAGCAATCCCAAATCTTTGCCTCTTTTATTCAAAAAAGTTGGAATCTAAAATGTCCACGTAACTCCAACTTTCTTGAATAGAAAAAGCAAGGATTTGGGATTGTTATTTTTATGTCAATGTTTATTTGAGTGATTGATAAAGAAAATTAGATGACACTTGAAAGACATTTATATCGTTTTGAAATGATACTTAATGGCTGATTAATATATGGTTAACGGTAGGTACTGGGTTAACACCTTTTAAACTTTTTTTTTTTTTCATTTTCACAAGATAAAAACCATTCACAGGATTCAAATCAAAGGTTAGGAGCGCAATTGAAGTGTTTGATTGTCAATTTTTTCGGAATTTTTAATTAGTACAATTCATTGGATACCCACCACCACCAAACCAAATGGCTGAGGATCTGATTCTGACCGATCCTCTACTCATCAGACTATGATATTAATTAATATTGTATTGCATATAACCCTCTATCCGAACCTTCTTTTTGTGGGCCCCATCATAAAATATACCTGATGCGTGGTGTTTGATTCATACATGATGGGAACTCCAAGCTTGACCAACTCGTAGCCTTGGAAACCTAGGAAAAGCTTTCTTGTAAGTGGACGTGGTCGTGGTGCACGAGGAAATTAAAAGTTGTGATGGGTGTCTGTTGGAGCTCCCACAAGGAGACGGAAGCTCGGTGTTAAGAAAAGTGGGTGGGTGAGTTAAATCTCAAATTCATGGACCGACCGCCATGTATTGATTTAATCCTAATTACCAACTTTGTTAGGAGGCGTTTCACATCCCTTAATGGAACATAGAGCACCTAATTAATGCCTAAAGCAGACTTTGCTTTGCCCCATAAAAAGAAGAAGAGGGTGGTGCATTTTTCTAACGTTTCAAAATCATTCAATTGGTAGGTCATGTGTATAAGCCATCAAGAAGCTCAAATATAATTGTGCAATTCATTGTTCTTAACTTTTTTTTCTTTCTCCTCTTCTTCTTAATTCTTTCTATCTTGGTAATCCGTCAATTCACCGGAAAGTTGGAGTTAGGGGGGGGGGGGGTCTATAACAGAAAACGTGTATAATAGACCATGAAACGAATAAGGATTCGGCTATGATACCAAAAGGATATAATTTCTGAAAAAACTTACAGCCAATCAATCTATAGGTGGTTTTCATCAAAATTCGC